CGCCAACTCGAGGTGAATCCTAACCGAATATCCTACCCAACCCTCCAACTCCGTAGCACTTATGAGGGTGTCGCTAAGTCGGTGGCCTCTCGTTAAGTAAGTACTACATCAACATTTTCTTCCCTATCCCGTGTTATGGTAAAGATGGGCGTGGCCGGGAATAGCAACAGTCATGCTTCTGTTACTCTGGTTTAGATTGGAACCAATGTTTACTCCCCAGCAGTATTCCTGAAAGTAGTCTGAGAATTTCAGAAGAGACATGGGTGTCGCTAGTATCCAATCTACGAAGTATATCATAACAACGCTAACGCTAACTAACATCCTGCGATGATGAATCCCTCATAATTGTAACATAAATCTTACATCCTTCGGTTGAATGTATAGTAAAAGGTACAACAAAATAAATAGAATATCTTCCGCTATCCAAAAAGCCTCCTCCACCAGAACGGAATCCGCATCCAGTGGTTTTATTGTATGACAGTATTGCTAACGGAGGGCAGAGCGTTTCCATTGCAGCAATGGATGCAAAACGTGGTCATCACTCACACACCCATCACGAAAAGTTGCTTTCCAAAGTCGACGACGCATTAACCGAAAGAACTGCTAATGAAGAACAATGAGGAGGACCACACAATGGTTGTTGCAGACGATCACGTGACACACATCGTGAGTTGCCTGCTTCTGTCGACAACCGAGGGAACACTGAGCTAGACGATTGATCTTTAAGATAATTTGTCGAACAAATTCATCTACAGATATAAATACCTGCAAAATTTGTCAATGACCTCACAGCAACATAAGAGTGAAAAAGCTGTTGGTGTCATCCACAAATGTTCGTAAGAAATCCCTACGATCAAGAAAAACCTGTTGTAGGAGCCAGGTAAACAATTTACATTCAAAAGCCACGTTGACAAACTACACCCAACTAGCTCGTACATGTTTGGTCATTCTAGCTGAATACAAGGACAGAACTGAACGACCTTGCCGAGTTCCTATACTTGCAAGTTTGCATCCTAAAATCAAATTTGGTTCAAGCAAATGTGGCCGGTAACTTTCTTCATCCAACCCAAGGTCGCAACTAACGCTGCTACATCCCATAGCAGGTTGAACTATCCTTCGTGTTCTCGAAAGTCTCCTGCGTGACAAGTTGTATCCAATCTCGGAGTTCTCGCAGGCATTCATAAGAAAGCGCTCGACGATCTCCAACTGGATATCCTACACCAACACTCTTATTGGCAGCATAGAAAAGGGCCATCAAGTAGACGCCGTTTACATTGACTTCTCAAAGGCTTTCGAAAAAGTCCCTATCGCAAAGCTAGGCAACCTTGGTCTTCCGTCGTGGGTCGTTTTCTGGTTAAAACCATATTTATCCTCCAAGAAAGCCTTCGTTAAAGTTTATGATGCCAGATCCGATGTGTTTGATATACCATTGGGAGTTCCACAAGAGAGCCACTTAGGACCACTTATTTCGTTCGTCTAATGCTGATGATTTGAAAGCTTACCGTGTGATAAAATCGATCCAATATAAACTGACATCTAGCGGTTAACATCGTGGTGTCAGATGAACGAATTGCAAGCAAACACTGCCATGTGCAAATGATTATTTGATGAATCAAGTGCCGCTTGAACGAGTTGATTCTATTAAAGATCTTGGACTTATCTTGAATAGCATACGAATACAGATGTGCACTTATTGGACTGCATACACTTTCGAGTCACCGAATCTTCCTGCAGATACTATTTATTTTTGACATGATTAGTAATCATATTGACTGCAGTAGTTAGCTCCGGGATGTCAACTTCCACGCTCCAGTCCGTCGTCTCCGCAATACGTTCCTCTTGTGGATTCGATAAATGTTACAGACTGTTTAGTGATGTGTAAGATGCTTTTGATTTTAATATTAGGAAACTTGTTTTTAAGAATATAATTAAGGGCAAAGGAAATGGACCACCTGCATAACAACGACTGATTTGTTTTTTTTTTTTTTTTTTGATGAATCGTTCACAAGAATGAACCAATCTTAGGTCTTAGAATTCAATGTATTTCAAAATAGCTTGCCTTTCATGCGCATAGGATATCAATGTAAATGTCATAAAATATATGAAACTAGCTGAGTGTGCCCGGCCCTGCTCGGAATTCAATATTAGCTTGAGTTGCTATATTGTACGTGGGGGGCCCTTCTTATCTAAGGGGCCAAGATTGGTTCCATTTGCTTGATTAGTTCAAGACCAACAATTGAAATGGCCTTAACTCCATTTTGTAAACAAACCTTGTAAGGCCATTTTATCGCGAACCGAAGTCCGCAAAGGCAAACCAACATATTGAACAGGTAGGGGAAATTCTCCTCTACCCGATTGTGGTTTAGGTTTGCGAATGAAGGTTTCGGTTTGCGAGAAAATGGCCTTACAAGGTTTGTTTACAAAATGGAGTTAAGGCCCTTTCAATTGTTGGTCTTGAGTTCTCGAGATATGCAGAAAATCTCGATAATTCAGTCTGTGTGGCTCCAACGCTCTAGATGGTGATTATAGGTAAATAAATAAAAAAAAAATCGAGAAAAATTATACTCAGTCTATGAGTGACCTACTTTTTATGCCAATTTGAGTAACTTATCTTACCAATCAGGCTAAGGCCTTGTTGTCCTCTGCAGTCCAAAGAAGTCGTGTCCATTCTACTCGATCCATGGCCACACTTTGCCAGCCTCGTAGTCTGCGAAGGGTCAGCAGGTCGCCTTCTGCTTGGTCAAACCACTTTGCCCGCTGCGCGCCTCTTCTTCATTTTCCTGTTGGGTCGCATTCAAGAACCATTTGGGTCGTCGTGCGGCATTTTTATGACGAGTCCAGCTCACCGTAGTCACCCATTTTTTGCAATGTGGACGATGGATGGTTATCCCAGCAGCTGGTGCAATTCGTAGTTCTTTCGCCTCCTCCAGGTTCCGTCATCCATCTGCACTCCACCGTAGATGGTACGCAACATCTTCCGTTCGAAACACCACGAGAGAGCATAGTCCAGGTCTCGTGGCCGTAGAGGACCACCGGTCTAACCAGCGTCTTGTAGATAGTCAATTTCGCGCGGCGGCGAATTTTATTCGACCGGAGCGTCCTCCGGAGTGCGAAGTAGGCACGATTCCCTGCCATAATGCGTTTTTTGAATTTCTCTGCTGGTATCATTTTCGGTGGTCGACACAAGCTTATCGACCACTTCGATTTCGTCACCGTCAATCTGAACTCGAGGTGGGAGGCTAACATTGTCTTCCCTGGAACCTCTTCTTCTCATGTATTTTGTCTTCGATGCGTTGATGGCAAATCCAATCCACCAAGCTTCAACCTTCAATACGTTTCGTACTCGTACTCGAATTTGAGTAAACGGAACCCAAATTTGAGTCAGAATCAACAGCTGTGTGGAAGTTATTCATGAAAAAATGAGCAAATTCATAAACCTTTCTTTTCAGTATTCACTCGGCTGTTGACAAAAGCAGACCACTCTCAATGTGTGTCACGCGATCGTCTGTTTACTCGGCAGCAACCATTGTGTGGTCCTCCTCATTGTTCTTCATCAGCAGTTCTTTCATGTCGTTTTCGTTTTTGCGGTGTAGCACTGGTGTAGTGTAAGCAGGAATAAGCGCGAGCCTTTGACAGCTCAACATCATTTGTTTGTAAACAAAGGAGCATCCTATATCTACACCCTAAAATATTTCGGTGTACGGCAGTGTAGCACCGGTGTAGCTACACCGCAAAAACGAAAACGACATCAGTCGATGCGTCGTCGACATTGGAACCGTTTCGTGATTACTGTGTGAGTGCTGACCACGTTTTGCGTCCATTGCTGCTCCTGCTCCATTGCTTGCTCTGCTCCCGGTTGGCGAATCCACTATACATTGAAACCACTGGAAGCGGTTCCCGTTCTGGTGGAGGAGGCTTATTGGAGAGCGGAAGATAAAATGTTAATTGTGCTGTACCTTTTGACTATAGTTTTAAGATGTATTGTATAGTGAACAAGAATCCTCGGCTCTGTAAAGTTAATTCGGTTGAGCCTTATCAAATAAATTAATTAACAAAAAAATAAAACTCTCTTTTGATATAGGAGCCTTTGCTATCAAATTCGTTCGATGAATTTACCTTTCCGCGGTAGATGACGCGAATATGCCTGTCCCATAACGGACGTATGAAAATCGGGAGGGTTGTCAGTCTTCTTGTTATGTTGCCTTCCCTAATAAAAAAATAACCATAAACGAACGATAACCCAAATCATTGAACTATTCCACAAATGGTTTGGATGATACCCAGAACACGTCGTTAAGCAAATTAACCATACAATTTTTATTAGGGTTTGCTTTAACTTAGTTGTACGCAATCTTCCTTTAACAAGTTGACTTCTTTTGAAGAGATTTATATATTATCAGCATAAGCTTTGAATGAATGAAATTGAATTGTTAGCGGAATTCTTTAAATAAAACAGCAAAATATGGTCATTTTCCATTTAATTTCAGTTACATAATGTTGGTATCCATGAGAGATACGTATTTCGACTGCAATGTGCAGTCTTCATCAGTGTCATTCCCAAAAAAAAAACTTATCAAAATCTAACCTCCTTAAGTACTCATCCCCTAGGTAAAAATGTTCGTAGTATGAAAATGAAACTACAACGTATAGAATTGGAAGTAAAGTGAAGGAGAAAAATCTAATTAACACTATTATAAGGAAAATCCCCAAAGTGCCATCATAATGAACTAATGAAATTAGGTTGGTTATCTTCCATTTAATTCCACGCAATTAATGATCCTATTCTTTAAAGTTTCATACATTTCAGATTAACGATCACGAATAAAAAATCCCGGGTTCATGGTACCTAACTTCCAAAATTTATATCATACGATTTGTTTGTTTGCGCAAAATATGTTTGAACTTTTCAGGACGGAAATAGCAATTATACATATATAAAAACGCCACAATACAGTTGGAAATTATGAAAATACATTTTATTCTTGTTAAATAAATACAAATAAATTAGTGCGTCGATAAAATAAACATCAGGGTGCCATAGACACACAGCCGAACAGAAACGGCACTGGGTTATCACAGGATAGAATGATACGAAAGAAATCTCAGGTACCAGGTGCTTGCACTCTCATCGTTGATTGCTAGTAGAAAGAAAGCGAGAAATTCACTGAGCCATTTGGCCTCCGTACGCCATCTCGTCCGCATCCTTCATGGCGAGATTTTTCTCCAATCCCTTGGAAAACGAATCGACAAATCCATCGATGGCACGGGCCCACCCGGAGCTGTACGTATCCAAATGATGATGATGTTCCGGTGGATGTGCCACCACCTCGTACGTCACGTGCTTCTTGTGCAGCAGCTTCTTGATTCCAATCACACTGGCCAGCAATAATGCCAACTTACTCACCAACAGTGCCTTACCGACAAGCAGAGCAATTCCCTTCAGTACCAGTGCTCCCACGATTCCCGCTTTCATGACGAATGCCATCAGAATGGGTCCGTAGTTTTTCATCTTGCCACGACCCTCGGCCAGCAGCTTTTTCGTATCGAGTGAAACGCCAAAGTTCAGCTTGCCTCCCTCGCCGGAAGCAACGACGATGTCCGCCACCCGGAAGGCCTTCCACTTGACGCTGCGGCTCTGGATGAAGCGCCAGATTTTGTCCGCCACAATGACGCTCAGCTTGTGGTCGTCTGAGCTGGCCGAACGGCTCAGGACCGACAACTCCTCTGGGTCGTCCGCCGGTTCATCGGTTCTGTGGGAAAGAAAACGAGCGATATTTGAATGAAATCGGTTTTGAATGGGTTTGTTGGCAAATGATGTGCAGAGTTTCGCTCGGAGCATGCGATTCCATAATTGATTGGGGAATGTTATTTTCCATTGAAATGAAGCCCGGAATCAAATTTATGGCTATGAACATGTTGGCCAGGCTCTCAATTGAATTTCCACTCCGTCAAACTCGAGGTCTCGTTGGTGTATCATCCTTGTTGAAGTAGGGGAGACTGAAGGTATCTGGTTCTTTTCTTAATTTGTATTATGAACAACTTTTATCAATTTTTAATAACATCGCTCATCTAGTACTTCTTAGAAATAAAATCAATGCAAGTAAATTGGATTGACGAAATGAATGGTCAGGTAAATTTTGGAAAAAAAATAAACGAACACATCACTAACAAAACACAGATGTATTTCGTCAAACGACGGAGTTTAGTACAAATAGATGTACAGTTTTTTTTTTCTTAAAAAAAAAAACAAAAAAAAAATTCGTCCGCATGTCAGATTTATGTCATTAATAAAGCAGTTTTTAGAGAATTAAAAAATGAAGTAACAAATTGCAGATTGTTTTGGGCGAGCACAAATAAAATCCTAGAAGTAGAGAACATATCAAAATATACATCCACAGCTGGAAACGTAATTCTAAACTGCTTGAAGTAGGTGATCCATTGCCTAAGCTTGGATATTTTCACAGCATTGTTTCTATAGAACAAATAAAAACAGCTGTTTGAAAATTTATTTATTGAATCCTGAATTTAAATCATAAGGGAAATTTTTCCCTCGTTTAATTTTGACCTAAAGTTGGCATTATCATGGAAACAGTTTGCAAACATGAATACAATATTGCTGATTTATGCGATATCGCGCTTAAATTTACATGAAATATCGTGTAAATTTACGTTCAACTAGATATCGCAGAATTTTTCAAAAACTCTTTCAAACTAAATTCAAGAAAAAAAATTCAATTGCCTGTACCTATCAACTTAATCAAAATATTTTAAGATGTTACATAATTAATGATTTAATGCATTGAAAGATCGTGTGTTTTGCAACATTGAAACATCTTAAAAGATCATTTCGACAAATTCATTCAATATGTTTCAAGCTCAGTGATCGACCATCCCCAATGTTCTATATTTGTTATCGTTGGCCTTTAGCACAGTTGAACACAAATTGAATCCGCAGGAATAACTATTGAGCGAATAATTGAAACTGAAATTCCGTTCAACAGGCTCCGTTCCATACATGATATCATTATAGTTCATGGAATTTTCAGAAGTTAATTGATTTAGGCAATGCGTTATTTCTATTTCACAATTGTTCATGATTTATAGTAAAGACAACAAGCCTTATGGGGTTGTACGCAATGGTGACGTAGGACTACGTGGTCTTATATAATGAATGTCATTTGTTAACTGCAGCAGGAGCTTGTGTTCTGTGTAGGAATAGGAATTTGAGCGTCTGTTTATACTCTTTAGTATGACTATGATTGCCCTGTAAAGAATCTTTTGATATGAATTTTAGTTGGCACATGTTCAGAAATTTAAGTCTTTTGGAAAATCTTGGTGGCCCTGAAATGGGCCGATGGTAGTACAAGCTTAAAGCCTTTAGAAGATGATAATGACGTGTAGGCACCTGGATCAGCAAATCCGACCGAACAATCTCATATTCTTTGGTTCAATGATTGAGCACTCGCAAGAGTCTCGGTCCGTCTGCTGCTGGACAGGGGTTGAGCTGGTGTCTGCGACAGGTTGGAAGGCCGCAGAATATCAGTGTCCACCCAGTTAAAGCTCCTCCCCTTTTTAGGTTTTCTCGTTAAACTGCTTTTCTCTAGAAATCTTAGCCTTTATCAGAAAGACGCTTAACACTTGTCGTTAGGCGCTCAAATAATTGAAAATTAGAAAAATATATAATCAAATTGCTGAAAAAATCGTTGCGATTAATCGTTAATCGAATGATTGGACTTTTAGGCATCCCTACAAAAAAGTGTAATTTCATGTTCTTTGGTGTTCCTTCGAAAATGTCGAACAGCAGAATTGCAACCAGCAAGTGTAACCCAAGAACCAAAAACCGTGCGATGCAAGTTTTCATTGCTATGCTTACCTTACCAGTCTGACTAAGGCCTTGTTGTCCTCTGCTGTCCGAAGAAGTCGTCTCCGCTCTACTCGATCCATGGCCACACTTCGCCAGCCTCGTAGTCTGCGAAGGGTCCGCAGGTAGCCTTCTACTTGGTCGATCCACCTTGCACACTGCGCGCCTCTTCTTCTTGTTCCTGTTGGGTTGCTTTCTAGAACCATTTTCACTGGGTCGTCGTGCGGCATTCTTACGACGTGTCCAGCCCACCGTAGTCGCCCATTTTTTGCAATGTGGATGATGGATAGTTCTCCCAGCAGCTGGTGCAATTCGTGGTTCATTCGCCTCCTCCAGGTTCCGTCATCCATCTGCACTCCACCGTAGATGGTACGCAACACCTTCCTCCACGAGCATAGTCCAGGTCTCGTGGCCGTAGAGGACCACCGGTCTAATCAGCGTCTTGCAGACAGTCAATTTCGTGCGGCGGCGAATTTTATTCGACCGGAGCGTTATCCGGAGTCCAAAGTAGGAACGATTCCCTGCCATAATGCGTCTTTGAATTTCTCTGCTAGTATCATTTACGGCGGTCATCAATGAGCCCAAATACACGAACTCATCGACCACCTCAATGTCGTCACCGTCAATCTGAACTCGGGGTGGGAACCTCTTCCTTTCATGTATTTTGTCTTTGATGCGTTGATGGCAAGTCCAATCCGCCTAGCTTCAGCCTTCAGTCTGATGTACGTTTCTGCCATCATCTCAAAGTTCCGTGCCATGATATCAATGTCATCGGCGAAGCCAAGAAGCTGGATGGACTTCCTGAAGATCGTGCCACACGGGTCTATCCCAGCTCTTCTGATCACACCTTCTAAAGCGATGTTGAATAGCAGACACGAAAGTCCATCACCCTGCCGTAACCCCCTTCGAGATTCAAAAGGATTCGAGAGTGTCCCCGATACTCGAACAACGCACATCACTCGATCCATCGTCGCCTTGACCAATCGCGTCAGTTTATCCGGAAGTCCGTACTCGTGCATAATCTGCCATAGCTGATCTCGATCGATTGTGTCGTATGCGGATTTAAAATCGATGAACAAATGATGTGTGGGCAAGTTGTATTCGCGGCATTTCTGCAGAACCTGCTGAATCGCGAAAATTTGGTCCGTGGTAGCGCGGGCACCCATGCATCTCGCCTGGTATTTCCCCACGAACTCTCTTGCAAATGATGACAGGCGGCGGCATAGAATTTGGGAGAGTACCTTGTAGGCAGCGCTAAGCAGTGTGATCGCACGATAGTTGCAGCAATCCAACTTGTCGCCCTTTTTGTGGATGGCATACGACACCTTCCATCCACTCCTCCGGTAATATCTCCTCCTCCCAAATCTTGGCAATTACCCAGTGCAGCGCTCATGCCTGTGCAGCGCTCTAGTCAGTGCTTCTCCACCGTATTTTAATAGCTAACTTGGTAATTGATCTACACCAGTTGCTTTGTTGTGCTTCAGCCAACCGATCTCCTCCTCAACTTCTTGAAGATCAGGGGCCGGTAGCCTGTCGTTTTCTGCGCGTGCTCCAAGGTCTGTTGCCGTGCCACCTTCGTTTTCTGCTGCTTCACCGTTGAGGTGCTCGTCATAGTACTGCTTCCACCTCTCAATCACCTCACACTCGTTCGTGAGAGGTTACCGTCTAAGTCCTTGCACATATCGGCTTGCGGCACGTAGCTTTTGCGCGAACTATTTAGCTTCTCATAGAACTTCCGTGTGTCGTTTACGCGGTACAGATTTTCCATCATCTCGCAATCTCGGTCTTCCTGCGGACGCTTCTTCCTTCGGAAAAGCGAATTTTGTCTGTTCCGCGCTTGTCTGTATCGCTCCACATTCAATCTCGTGCGGTGTTGCAGCATTCTTCTCCTCTACTAACAGTTTGCATTCGCCGTCAAACCAGTCATTTCTTCGGTCCGGGATTGCAGTACCTAGTGCCGCTGCAGCAGTACTACCTATGGGGGAACGGATATCCCTCCATCCATCTTCAAGAGAAGCTGCGCCAAGCTGCTGTTTCGTGGGTAGTGCAACTTCCAGCTGCTATTCATTGCTATGACGACGACTGAATTACGGGGTTTAGAGCAGAGGGGTAAGAGTCAATTATCTCTTTTGAGGACCATGACTTTATAAACCTATTTCACACTATTTCTGCTATGCTTTTCTATCACCCAGAACAACAAACGTATCAATGAATGTATGTGCCGTCTAGTTATAATCGATCTAAATCTCCAAGTTTGGTTACAAGATTACAACTCTGGAGGGCATTTTGTGTGATCGTTGGTGGCGTGTGGTACTGAATATGGCAATGAGTGTGCAAAGTGCTACGCAATTGCATCCTCCCTATTCACACACGCCCAAAAATCGGACTTGTTTCGTCTACTAATGACTCTCTGATGACTGTGTTGGGGAAGCAGCATATGCATGTATGTAATTGGTGGATTTGTTAGCTATTTCGACGATTTTGGACAATGCTTGACATTTACCACTTTTTTAAAAAGAGATGAACTAGCCTTCGGCTTAAAATCTCTATAATAAAAAATAAAAAAAAAAACTTTGTGCATAGTTTCTTGTTGAATATCAACAGTCAAAAAGCATTTCTATCGATGCGTATACATATTTCTGAGCGATTGGTGATAACATTATTGAAATTGGTCCAGGGGCAGCTGAGTTATTAACGTTCAAAATCTTTCATAATTTCGTTACATATTCCATTTTCGGTTTTCACTAAGTAAAAAACGACCAACGCACAAAATAGTAAAGAACCAACACTTTTGGTTCAATGTTTATACAGCGGATTTGGTGGAAATGTTCCTAAACAAAATGTTCACACTCAAGGGCAAATATCTCAATAAAACTAACTGGATTCATG